GACTTGGGAGATATTGAATATATGGTCAAGGGGCTTTGGGTCGAGACCATCCTTTACGAGATCCCACTCCTCGCCCTGACAAGTCAGGCGTACTTCATGTTCACCGACAAGGATTGGGATCACAGCGATCAAGAGGAGAAGGCCTTCCGCAAGGGATGCACTTTGCTCGAGAACGGATGCATCTTCTCCGAATTCGGTTCCCGACGTCGACGCGATTACCATACTCAGGACTTGGTCATGCAGGGGCTATGCCAGGCTGCTGAAGAGGGAAAGCGACAGGGTTGGAAGGGCGTCTTGTCAGGGACCAGCAATGTCCACTTTGCGATGAAGTATGGCGTCACTCCCATTGGTACCGTGGCCCACGAGTGGTTCATGGCCATCGCTGCCATCACGGACGATTACGAGAATGCGAACGAGCTGGCTCTCCGCTACTGGGTCGGATGCTTCGGCGAAGGGGTATGTATCAGTTCCTTCTCCGACAACGCAGACAAGTCACTCATTATTGTACTAGGTCCTAGGCATCGCCCTCACCGATACATTCGGTACCCCGGCTTTCCTTGACGCCTTCCGGAAGCCGATCCCTCACCACACCAGCGCAGGTGTCGGTGCCGTATCCACAACTGCATCGGGAGCGAACACAACAAGCGAGTCGCAGCCTCAGAGCGAGGCCGAGACCAAACCACCAATTACCGCTCCCCTCCACGAGAACGACTCCCAGCATTCTTCCAAGACATATGCGCAAGTCTACACAGGCGTTCGTCAGGACTCCGGCGACCCAGCCTACTTCGTCAAGATGGTCCGCGACTTCTACGACAAAGAAGGAATCAAAGAGAAGAAGACTGTGGTCTTTTCAGATTCGCTGAACATCGAGCACTGTCTCGAGTACAAAACCATTGCCGAGGAGGCCGGGTTCGCCCCCGTCTTCGGTGTCGGGACTTTCTTCACCAGTGAGTTCTGTCCCGTTTAGTCCCCGTCAGCAGCTCCGCTAACCCTTCGACTTACAGACGATTTTACGAATAAATCCGACGGCAAGAAATCGAAGCCTCTCAACATCGTCATCAAGATCGCTACGGCCAACGGCCGCCCGGCCGTCAAGCTAAGCGACAACATGGGCAAGAATACGGGCGACAAAAGTATGGTGCAAGAGGTGAAGAAGAGGCTAGGGTACATCGAGCAATACTGGGAGGAAGGGGATGAGAGCAATCGCTGGGCAAAGCAGAGGTAGCATATGCTACTACTGTTGTTTAACGAGCTGAAGCAGCTCTTGTACATCTTGTACATCGAGATATGAACCATGGGATAGACTCGACCTAGATTTAGATTATTCATTGATGGCTACCTGATTGTGTATATTTTTTTTCTACAACAGCGACGAACAGGCTTTTTTGGATGATGCTCGATCTGCAGCTACATTCAATGGCATGATCCTATGCATAGTAAAACATAATATGTATTGGTAATCATGTACAATTTTAAAAGCGAATCGTGGATATCACAAAAGCAGCATAAACCGATACACCGGCTCGAAAGTAAGTCAACCAAAGAAAATCGTCATCATGCAGGACGTCGTTAATATGAATCAAGAGCCAGACCCAGATCCCTGTCCAAATCGCCAGTGATACCGCAATGGCTATGGCTTAACGAGCCTGTCCCGGAATAATCTACAGTTAACTCTGGGCCTCCGAGAAGTTCGTCTGTCCAGTCCACGTCTAGTTCCGGGACTGAGGAGATATTCGTGTCTGGAGGCATGAAATCGGGGAAAGAGTCAATGTCAATGCGCAGCAGATCCGCAGGAATGAATGAGCTGATTGTTTGAGGCGAAGGGAAGTTGTCGAGGTGGTCGTCGAAATCATTTGTAGGGGTAGGTTGTTGTTGCTGGTTCGTATTTTCCGGTTTATTGTGAGATCGGGAGATAGAGAATGCAATGCTGTCTCTCTTCGTTTGTAAGGACTCAGCACGGTGTTCTTTGCGCTGCGCGTCCAAGTCGGACCTTTGCCGGGGGTTTGCTCCCACGAAGGACCCTCGCCGACCTGATGAGCTATCCTCTGGCGAGAAAGCCGTATGCGTGGTTGAATCGACGATTTGTCTCCGTAATGGCGGCTCTGGGGGTTGGAGCTGGCCGTTGCTAACATTGCTGTATTCCATGATCTTGAGGAAAGTGCCAACACTATCGGACTGCACTTTGACTGCGGCTTCAATGTTGGCCACTTCCATGTCCGCGGCGGGATAGAGATCTCTCAGGCCGCGAAGAACCTGGATGCATCTCTGAAAGTGGTGAAGGCTAGTTTCTCGGACGGTGGGGTTGTTGGACATGATATTCGACAGGTGCGCCACTGCTGCTGGTATAATCACAGTGACACCAGATTGAGGTAGGAACCGAGTCAGATTTAACTGATTGAGCCCCTGTATAATGTGTGTGATTCCTAAAGCCGCATCGTGCATCTTCGATCGCGCAGTTTGCGTTATTTCAGCGCGCGATTTGTCCGGATCCCGGCCATAAGCCCACGGCCTGTGCAGCGCGCTTATGGTCGCATGATAGAGCATCCTTAGCATGGCACCATGAAGTAGAAGGACGTCTTCTCCATCCGCAAAGTTGGTTTTGGATGCGGGAATGTATTGCGCATCCTTCGGCAGGGTGCTAAGCCACGAGTCCAGTCTTTGGCTGCATCGAGCCAGCTCAGATTCCGAGGCCTGCCGCGGAACAAGTGTAATGGTGGTTCTATTGGTCACACCAAACTGACACTGAGATGTTGTGTATTGCGCGAATAGTACCCGGCCAATGCTCTGGCAAAGTTTAGCTTTTTCAATGAACATAGTAGCTAGACGTTTCTGGTGGGACACATCCTCCAGTTGGCGGCAGCGAAATATCCCAATCACGGACGGATGAAAGGACTCAAAGTCAAAGTCGTCCAGTCGCAACATCGGAACGCTACTGGTTCCTTCATTGATCTGGGTTGGTCGCCTTAACCCCATGGCAATAAGACGGTCTCGACAGTACAAGCTCCACCACAGGCGGACCCGTAACCGTTTCATTCTGGGATCCATGTCGGATGTGGTAGGGTCTCTGTTCAATCCAATAGAGTGGGCCTGCGTGTTGCATATTCCTATCCAATCCCAGATGTCTCTTTGTGGGTTGTTGACGTGGTCCGACCAATATGTCATTAAGAGGAGCGTCTGCAAGATGGCGATTCGATCTTCTTCAGAGTCGAGCGAATAGAGCAACTGATGTAAAGAATTAGACACGACCTTGACCTTTTCCTGACAGCGTACATACCCTCAATCGTTCATAGAAAGCATTCCGTGCACTCTTTCGCGTCGTATAACCAGCCTCTTGCAGATGTTTAAAGTCCACGAATGCCGTGGCAACAAACATCACGGCCTGAAACAAGAGGAGGCTTATGTTTCCTTCGGGGTCATTTTCTGCGACACATCGCAGGAACTCTTGCAGGTTCAGGACCGGCATGAAACTGTGCACCCATTGAATATAGCATCGTAGCAGCTCATTCCGCAGTCCGCTCTCGGGAATTGAAAGTGCGCCTCGAAATCTCAGAAACTCCAGGTCCTCCGATGATATTCGACTAGGTAGAGGCTTTAGGAAACGCGGCTCGTCATCAAGGATCGCGATGAGAGGGTCAAAATCCGGGTCAATAAGATCTTGTACTGTGGAGACCATGTTGGCCAGCGGAAGGGTATGTTGCACGGCGGGGTTCCCAGCTGTCCGCCGACCTAGCGACGGTTTGGAGTCGAAGAGCCATGGCGTGCGGGCATCGTATCCAAGAAGGCTGCTCTTTTTGGTGTTGGGGTTCTCTGCATCAATGTCTACGTTAGACAGCTTGCGCTTGGTGGTTACCATTCTGAGGGAGGTAATTTGGATATGGCTGCACCTGCAGCAAAATGATGCGATCTGATATACATGGACCGGATCTGAGCGGCCTGGGAAGAATCAAGATGGGGATCGGTGGCCTTGTCTGCGTCTAGGTCTGCACATGATCACATCGTGGGCAGCTATTTCCCCGGCCACTGGAGTAAAGCCGGTCTTCGGGAGTTTGTGCGGGGGTTTGCGGGGAGTTGATATCTGTGGCGTCTTGGCGATATCAAAAATGCATTATTGGTCTAGACCGATGGAATCATTCTTCAATGGAGCGCTAGAGAAAAGATAGCAGAGGAAAACAAGACTATGCGTCCCAATGCTTGCGCGATAATATTCAGTGGCCGTTCTGACCGAGGCGTTGGAACATTGCAGGGAATGTTGGGATCATGTGCTACCAAATAACCTGAGGCTCCATCACTCTTCACATTCAGGAATCTTATCCTGGAGAAGGCAAGGAAGACATGAAGATGACAGCCCACTGATGTTCCTGGTCACAATTAGGGAGCAATACCTCTTCTCTCCAGCAAAGTCCCCTTGTCAGTCTACGGACATGCTACCTCCATCTTACTTTCGGAAACAAAGGGTCAGACCAAAAAGGTGACAAGCAGCCAAAGGCGCAAAATGTCATACGAAATAGCAGACCGCATGTAGTTAGACGGAGAAGGGGCAATGAGCGAACCGCGCTGCTCGAGGATGATGTTTCGAAAACGAATTCGCTCTCCTTGATGCAAATTTGCTATTTGTGAATGATTTTTTGAGTTACCAAGCAAGATCAGACAGCACAGCCCTCGCACCACGATGTCTATCAGAACGCCATTTGATATTCAAAGCAGAAGCTGAGTGATCCGAGTATTCACCCAAAAGACGTATGCCCACCAAAGCGCAAAATATAGTACATGTAGCCGTTAAATCAAGGCCAAGACAAAATATGATAGAAAGAAAGTAACCTCATCCGTGTCGTGATCGAGTGGGTTGTCGATAACTCTGTGACCTAGTTTCCGGAGGTTTCAAGCCGTGGACGTCCAGGATTTCATCGGAGTTTGTTCACAGACTGTTCCAATCAGTTTCTGTCCCAGGATGGTGTTGAGACCTGTGCTAGAGATCAAACGCATGAGAAGTGTGCTTCGACTTACGGAGGGAGGAGGAACTCGCTGAGGCTGCTGTGAAGGAACGCAACACCGGCCTGAGGATTTGGAGCATTAGCCGTGATGCTTCCAGGAAAGCTTTCGGAAAGGACCATAAGATAAGAGGCACTTACACCGAAGACCAGAAGGCTTCTGACGATGGTGGCATTCTCGGGCGCGGTCAGCTCTTCATATGCAGCTCCGAGGAAGCCCTTCTGGGGGCGACCGGAGCTGGCAGCAACGACACGCTGGTTGGGAGCCATGATGTGGTCTGAACGTAAAGATGGAGATTTTGTAGCGTAATAGCTTAGAATAGGTGATGGCGATCAAGGAGGAGGTGTTAAGAGGGTAATTGATGGCCTGCGGAGGAAACGCCGCTCCGAGAAATCTTTCAAGTGCTTGACTCTTGGCATCACTAATTGCGTTTCTAGCTTGCCCCGGCACCCGTATCTCCTCCAAAGTAGCTTGCGCGACCAATTGTAAGAAAAGAGATTGCAATAATACATACTCAAAAGCGAGCCTGATAGTCATCTTCGGAGGCCGAAAGTAATTTTCTTCTTGCTATATTGCTGGTGCCTCTAGGCTTGCTGCCCCGTCCTTTGCAGGAAACTCTTCTGTACCCTCCTGCGCGCCGCGCACGTCGCAACCATGACGAGTATAGACGACCTCTTCAAGGTACGGGTTCCTCAGCGTATTGTCATTAGATCGAAGCTAATTGCAATAAGAAACCTCTTTCGGCAGCGAGCGCCAAGCGCAAGCTAGAGGTTGCACAAGATCCGAGTATGTTCCCATACGTCCCTGCGCCTAACCATCCTACAAATCCGTTGCTCATGCGCAATGTCAGATGAGCTTTACAAAGCAGCGAAGTTAGACGCGAATGGTGATGTCAAGTCGAAAGGAAAAGCACCCATGGTGGAGGAAGATGTTGAGGACGACGGCGAGGCTGGTCCGGAACTACCACCTGATTTCGATGCCGAGGATATCCCAGACGATGAAGAAGGGCGATTCTTCGGGGGAGGAATGGAGCGCAAAACAGCCCAGGCAATGCAATACATCGACCAGCAGGATGAAGGAGAGACAGCGGTATGGAAGAATCTGAGACAGCAATGTCAACCTAGACCAGCACTAATGTTGCTTTAGCCCGAGAAATTCGATTCTGCCTGGTTGCGACGGCTGGCCCTCACCTTTGAAAGGAAGATATCGAAAAACGCCGAGCTCCGCGGGAAGTTTGAGAATGATCCCCAGAAGTGAGTTGACTGGGCCTCACTGCTTGATGAGACAAATAGTGCTCACAATGTGCCCAGGTTCATGACCTCGGAAGCCGATCTAGACACGGAGATCAAAGGACTCTCAATCTTATCCGAGCACCCCGAATTATATGCAGAATTCGCCAAGTTGGGATGTGTGGGCTCTCTAACATCATTGCTGTCCCATGAGAACGCAGATATTGCCATCGACGCAATCCAGATCATCAATGAGTTGACGGATGAAGATGTCGAGGCTGAACAGGAACAGTGGGATGCTCTCGTCAATGCATTGGTATGCGCCGCCTTCGCTTCACGGAACGATTGCTGACGGCGTTAGTTGGATGCCGACCTCATTGAGCTCCTGACTCAAAATCTATCACGGTTGGATGAAACATCTGAAGCTGATAGAGCAGGAGTATACTATGTGCTCAGTATGGTTCTTCTTGTTTTACATTTTGTTGAAGAAGTGACACTAACTTTCTAACTAGACGTACTGGAGAACCTGGCTTCTCAAACCACAATCGCGGAGAAGATTGGTCAAGAATCTACCGTATTATCGTGGCTTCTCTCGCGCATACAGCAGAAAGAAAATCCAGTCAGCCAAAATAAGCAGTACTCAGCAGAGGTTTTGGCCATTCTGTTACAATCGTCTCCCAAAAACGGGGAAAGATTCATTGGCCTTGATGGTGTCGATATTCTACTTCAACTACTGAGCCACTACCGCAAACGCGACCCTGAAAAAGACTCGGACGAGGAGGAGTACGTGGAGAATCTTTTCGACTGTTTGATATGTCTCGTCGACGAAGATTCTGGCAAGGAGAAATTTCTGGAAGGCGAAGGCATCGAGCTTGCTCAGATTATGCTGAAGGAAGGCAAATTCAGTAAGCAACGTGCCTTGCGAGTTCTTGACCATGCTCTGGGTGGATTGGGAGGCGGCCCTGCGTGCGAGCGTCTAGTCGAAGTTGCAGGTCTAAGAACAATTTTTGGAATGTTCATGCGAAAGGTAGGCGTCTTGTCTAAATAGACCCTCGCCGGCTGTAACTGACTCCGAACAGCAAGAAAGCCAGACAATAGAACATCTGTTGGGGATCTTTGCTTCACTGTTACGCCTCTTACCAGGAGGTTCGGCTGCACGCATTCGTACCCTTGCCAAATTCATGGAAAAGGATTACGAAAAGATTGTGAAGCTCGTGAAGCTAAGACGGGACTATGCTTCAAGGGTGTCGCCGGTTGAACAAGCCATTGAGGAGGAACGGAAGAATTACACAGACGAAGAGCAAGAAGCCATGGCTGCGGAATGGCTCTCTAGACGCTTTGACGCTGGTCTTTTCTCTCTGCAGGTTTGTTTGATATCATTCACCTTTCTAGAGCTGATTGACTAACCTTCGCTTCACTCACAGTTAATTGATGTTTTACTAGCGTGGCTGGTGGCTGAGGATGATGGAGCAAAGCAGAAAATCATTTCACTATTAGCAGATAGGGATGAGGATCTGTCCATTATCAAGGCGACGTTGAAAGGTAAGCAGCATTTACTGGAAGTATTCCCTTCTTTCGTACTAACTTCCTTTTCCATCAGAGCAAATGGAGGGACTTGCAGATGACGAGCCTGGGCAAAAGGACCATAAGGAAATGCTCGGGACCTTACTACAATTCTTATAGAATGCAGCGCATCAATGCATTTCATGCATAGTAAAGATGAAAGAGAGAGTCAAAGCGATGATTATTGCCCTCTTGACATACCATGATCCGTTCGTAGGCCAATAGAAGTAACAATATCACGTGATGTAATTGCCTATTCTGTTCTAGTCGAGGACTAGCGCCAAGTCGGGGTCGAGGCGCTAGTGGCGGCTCTCTGCTCAAGATCCATCAGCAGCCGGAGAATCGAAGCATCCAGCTTTGCTCCATCCAACATCCTCTGCTGCAGGGGATCTCTCACTTTCCATCAATCAAACTGAGATTCCCGGCTTAGTGAACCCTCTTAAGTGTCGCTTTTCGAGCACACTTACGCTGGTGTCACTGCTCGTCGCAGCAGTTGATCAACACGGAAGTGGGATCTTTTCTTGTTTGAGCGCGTCGCTCCCTCCCTGCGCTCAACACATTTTTTTTTATTGATCGTCCGCCTCAAAACCGAATCCGATTTCCGTCAAAATGGCCGAATACGATGATGCGTACGAAGAGGAGTTCTACGATGAGATGGAGGAGGGGATCACGTCGGAGGACTGCTGGACGGTTATCTCCTCCTTCTTTGACACGAAGGGTTTGGTGTCGCAGCAGCTGGACTCTTTCGATGAGTTCATCTCATCAACGATGCAGGAGCTGGTAGAGGAACAAGGCCAGGTCACCCTCGACCAGACGCTTCCTCCTTCGGATGATGAAGTCGACCCCGTCGTTCTCCGTCGGTACGAGCTCAAGTTCGGAACAGTAATGCTCTCTCGCCCCTCGGTTACTGAAGGTGATGGCGCGACCACCATTATGTTGCCGCAGGAGGCTCGTCTGCGAAATCTCACGTACGCCAGTCCGCTCTACCTCGGTATCACTAAGCGAATCATGGAAGGTCGGGAACGGCTGATTGCGGATCGTGATGAGGACGACACGGTGCCAGATGCGGACGAGGACAGAAAGGCCCGTGGCACATATTTGCAGTGGGAACAGAAGGAACTCCCGGCCGATCAGGCGAAGGAGGAGACGGTGTTCATCGGAAAGATGCCCATCATGCTCAAGTCCAAGTACTGTATCCTCAAGGATCTGAGTGAGCAGGCGCTTTACAACTGGAACGAGTGCCCCTACGACTCTGGTGGTTATTTCATCATCAACGGAAGTGAGAAGGTTTTGATTGCTCAAGAGCGAAGCGCCGGAAACACAGTGCAAGTCTTCAAGAAAGCGCCACCGAGTCCTACACCCTACGTTGCTGAGATTCGAAGCGCGGTCGAGAAGGGTTCCCGACTACTCTCGCAATTGTCTCTTAAGCTTTTTGCTAAAGGAGACAGCGCCAAGGGTGGATTTGGCCCTACGATCAGATCAACTCTCCCCTATGTTAAGACGGATATTCCCATCGTTGTAGTTTTCAGAGCACTGGGTGTGGTCTCGGACGAGGATATTCTCAACCATATTTGTTACGACAGAAATGACACCCCCATGCTCGAGATGCTGAAGCCCTGCATCGAGGAAGGTTTCGTCATCCAAGACCGCGAGGTTGCTTTGGATTTCATCGCCAAACGTGGATCTTCTCAGTCCAGCATGAACCACGAGCGTCGTGTCAGATACGCACGAGAGATTATGCAGAAGGAGTTACTTCCCCATATTTCTCAGAGCGAAGGTAGCGAGACGCGCAAGGCCTTCTTCTTGGGTTACATGGTTCACAGACTCTTGCAGTGTGCTCTCGGTCGTCGCGATGTTGATGATCGTGATCACTTCGGAAAGAAGAGACTTGACCTTGCCGGCCCTCTGCTTGCCAATCTTTTCCGAGTTTTGTTCACGAGAGTCACTCGGGATCTCCAGCGATATGTCCAGAGATGTGTGGAAACCAATCGTGAAATCTACTTGAACATCGGTATCAAGGCCAGTACCTTGACTGGAGGTCTGAAATATGCCCTCGCCACCGGTAACTGGGGAGAACAGAAAAAGGCAGCAAGTTCGAAGGCAGGTGTCTCACAGGTGCTGTCTCGTTACACCTATGCCTCCACCTTGTCACATCTTCGCCGTACCAACACACCAATTGGCCGTGATGGTAAGATCGCGAAGCCTCGCCAGCTTCACAACACCCATTGGGGGCTGGTTTGTCCTGCAGAAACTCCTGAAGGTCAAGCTTGTGGTCTGGTCAAGAACCTGGCTCTCATGTGTTATATCACTGTCGGTACACCCAGCGAGCCCATCATCGATTTCATGATTCAGCGCAACATGGAAGTTCTTGAGGAGTTTGAGCCTCAAGTGACACCCAATGCAACGAAGGTTTTTGTGAACGGTGTTTGGGTCGGTGTCCACCGAGATCCCGCGCACTTGGTCAATACCATGCTCTC